ATTACATTGTTGTCTTAGGAAATAATCTGCACCAAATTTCGTGAATATATCTTGTTAAATGTAAGAGTTTTCCATACAATAACTTGTTTCCGATCATTCAGTTTGTATGGCAGCTATATGCTATAGTTAACCGATCTTAACAATCTATACCAAATTTCGTGAAGATACATTGTCAAATGTGAAAGTTTTCTATACAAGAAGTTGATTCCGATTGTTCGGTTTGTATGGCAGCTATATGGTATAGTGGTTCGTTAATTTAGGCGTTATGAGACGCTATTTCAATCGTTTTAATGCCTAAATATTCAGCAAGAGAATCCAAAAACTTCATCTAAACGTAAACGTCCATTTGATGAAGATACGACTGTATCTTCCTTAAAAAGAATGGCCTCACCCACTATTGACCTCATTAATTTTTCATCCCCTTGTTCTCAAGGAGAGAAGGTACCGTCTGCTCAGGACACTGAGAAAACCGTTACTGAACACGGTAAGCCGAAGACATCTCAAGATCCGCCTCCAAATACCTACAAGCCAGCTAATAAAAACTTAGTTACACCGCGGAAAAAGTCAATTTTTGTCTCGAGATTTTCTGCGGATACCTCAGTCGATGATATATAAAGTTACAAAATACAAAAAACTAATTAACAACAATTCGCTGACTATTTATTATCAAAATGTTAGAGGTCTTAATACAAAACTTTCTGATTTGTATTTAAACAGCATTCATTGTAACTTTAAAATCATTGCTTTCTCAACAGCGAATTCGAAATCTATAGATATGACCGGCTGAACAGAAAAGGAGGTGGTGTCTTGTTTGCTGTTCATTCTTCCATTCCATCTGAAGAAGTCGACGTTTCGCATGCAGACTTCATAGAATTTAAGTGCATTCGTATTTGCGCTAATAGTGGCCATATCTACTTAACTTTGTCTTATATACCTCCTCGCTCGGATATATCTGTTTATATGCAGCTTGCTTCATTAATAAATAATGTTTTCTCCATGGCTAATAATACTGATTCCATGATTGTTTTGGGGGTATTCAATTTACCGTGCGTATCATGGAAAACTATAGATGAACACACCATTGCTATTAGTACTCGCTTATGCTTTAACGAGTTCTTAGATGCAATGTCGGGGTTGGGTCTTACCCAAATTAATTTAATTTCAAACGAGTTTGGTAAGTTCTTAGATCTAGTTTATGTTGATAAAGCTTCAATGTTCTCCGTTGTCCGGTGTGATCCTTTGGTTTGGCCAGAGGACCCGTATCATCCTGCTTGGAAAATTGACATCGCAATTGTAGCTAACTTTGCTCATAATAATATACAAGAACTTTGTTTTCGGTTCAACTTTGGGAAAGCTAATTTTAAGAAGATTAATTACGAGTTTTCTAAAGTAACTTGGCCAGATTACAGTGGCAATATTGAATTTAATGCTTCCCACTTTAATGAAACTATTTTAAACTTATTTGAAAAATATGTTCCGAAGTGTGTTGTTACTCAAAAAATGAGCTCTAATTTATGGTTTTCGAAAGAATTATGTAAATTAAAGAATAGAAAGTCTCGTGCTTTTAAACTTTTTAAATAAACTGGTTTAGTTGCTGTTATTATTTTAATATCTCGCTGAATCTTTGCTGAGCGTTCTTCAATTGCTTTCTTTAAACCCTGACATATTTGCCTCGGGGAACCAGTTCCGCTGCATGCATCCACTATTGCTTCGTTTTTGTCATTATTATTGTTTCCATTAAACCTTCAAAAATTTCGTCAACGTTTAAAATACAATCCTCAAAGAACACGTTGATATCTTGAATATGGAAATCAAACTTTCTGCTCCAATGGCGCTGGCAAGCTGAAAAATAACCGCGCTTGCAGACGAGATCTCATCTTCATGATTCTCCTTCAAGGCAGCGCCTTCCCATAGTTTTTTCCAACATTTAATAACTTAATAATTTTAATATTGTGGAAGGATTTTTAATTTAAAAATTGTTGTAAACCTTTGCTATCGCTAAAATGCGGTTCATCTGCATTACCTGTTGAGGCCTTAACTTTTTTTTTCATAAAACTGATCTGTTCAGGTATTCCTTTCTGCGCATGATTTTCAAGCAATAATACAAGCGGTCCGTTTTTACGRTCGCGATGATTCTGATGTTAAATGTTTTAGAAAAGCT